AATAACTTCAACTGATGGAACAATGAATTTGATGAAATATATTTATGTTTGTGGTTGTAATGTGACAAAATATGGAAAAGTTCAAGGGGTATGAATACTTTTGCAAACCACTGTAACTGATAAAATACTATAACTGATAAAATACTATAACCAACCAAATCATTAAATTTCATTAACTTCAACTGATGGAACAATGAATTTGATGGGTGATAGTGATGCTTTCTGGTGATAATTATTACGGCTCTTTTCTGTAAAACAAAAGTTGAGTTTATAATTGTTTTGCATGATTTTCCCCAAACATCAATACAGTAGATCAAGTGTGGAACTATTATTGCATTATATGATATAAACAGAGCTTTATCATTAAAGAAATCTTTTACTTTGTACAAAACYGCAATGGATTTGGCTGTTTTTGTTCTTATTTGATTTGAGGTCTCCATGTCAAGTTTTCATCAATGGTAACTCCCAGAAACTTTACCTCACTGACTTTACAGAACTCAATGCCATTGACTCCAAATAAAATATTGATAGTTTTCTTTCTATTATTAAATACCATATAATTAGTCTTATCTAAATCTAAATTTAATAATTTATTAAGTTTTAAACCAGGTTTGTATTTTTACAAATTTTGTTTGCATCATTTCCAACATTCATTCTATATTTTTACCAAAACAAAAAATTGTAGTGTCGTCTGCATATAAAACACATTTGAACAACCCTGACACATTTACCAGCTCATTTAAGTATAAAATAAACAACTTCAGTCCAAGAACAGAACCCATTATGTGCAACATGTCATGTCCTGAATTGCATGWCTCTCAGCTACTACCACATCAAATTTGAGCTCATTCTATGTAAAATTGACCAAGTCATGGCTGTTTTTGTGTTCGACAATGTTAATTAGCTGTGGCAGCCATCTTGAATAGTACTGAATCCAAAATATAAGTAAAATGATTCATCTTTAACAGTTTTTTTTATTTGTCCAGTGGTTCATGAGTTATTTTGCTAACGGACAAGCACATACACATGAGCAACAATATGATGCTGCTGTGTATCGCCACATAAAATAGTACAAAAAATAATTAAAACAACATTCAAAATCTTTGATTTTTGTCCTGAATATTTTTGTTGTTCTGAAATCAAAATTTATTCCCATTATAGGAATTTTCAAGGCAGTTCAGTAAAATTAAACATTATCAATTGTCTTGTCATTATAATAAAAAACAACTAAAATCTGGTGTATGAAAGTGTACACATCTTTTATCGTTTGCAGTTAAAGCTCTTATATTAATTATAGATTTAACAAAGCCTAAAAGACACACACTACTGTAGAGGGTTTGCTCCCAAAGCTCATCCATCTCATTTATTTTTACTTTTTTGTCCCTTCAGGAACTTAACCCCATCTTTAGACCAATCAGCATTTAGATTAAAAATGTAAACACGTCCTATAGATCTCCTCGTTAGTGGGTTATTTGTCGGGGAAAAGCTCAGCACTTTCAAGACAGTTTACATTAGATTAATGTAGCTCTGAACCTGTACTGGGTTGCATTCGATGTGTGTGTGTGTGTGTGTGTGTGTGTGTGTGTGTGTGTGTGTGTGTGTGTGTGTGTGTGTGTGTGTGTGTGTGAGGGAGAGAGGGAGAGAGAAGTACAAGACAGCAGCTAAATGACTGCTTGTCAACAAAATCCGTCTAATGAACAGTCAGGCAGCTGAATGTTTCCTTGTGTTCTTCAGAGATGGCGCTGACAGATAACGCCTTGAAATGCAAATGCTTTCTCACAGGAGTTCCCCCAAACATGCAGAACATTTTAACTGTCGTCCAACTCATCCCAGATTGTTTCAATCAGCCAGATTTATTTATCTTGGACTTCAGATCAGGCGGTGCAGCCTCTCACCACATTCCTGTTTGGTATTATGGACTTTACAAGGACCACAGAGGGAGCTCTGAATACTATCTTTTAAAAAGCTATCTATATGAGTTACACTATATTTTGAATACTACCTTGGCAGAACATGATGGATCCCAAATGCTGCAAAGATGAAGTTTTGGGCTCTTGCTTTCTTCTCAGGTAACTGCAGAGTTAAAAACACAATGTCAGAATGAAAGGAATTTATTCTCGAACATTTTGATGCTGCTCCAGAAACAATTTTTTTTTACCTGGAAATGTTTAACTTGAGTGAAAAATGAATACTTTAGACATATGTAGTTGTAATGCAAGAAAAATATATTTCTTTGAATGAAGCTTTTTAATTGTATTCTGAATGTTAAATTGAACCGAACTGAATTTTTAAACATAATCTGTTACGTGGTGGGTGTGTGGAACAGATGATTCAGACGACAGAAGATAGTTTGGAATTTAAACTAAAGCAACTTTAATTTCATAGCAAAACTGAAAACACTTGAATGGCATAYGGYATAYRGAGTTTTAGATGAAAATTCAACTCTGGAAGATTAATTAACCTCACCTGCTCCATCCTGCCACTGCGTCACAAGCACAGCTTCATCCAATCAGCGTCTGACAGTCAGTGGATAAAAGCGYCCTCTCCAATCACTCCAGCTGCTCGCCAGCCGAACGTCAACCTTCCACCTCCAACCTTCATCTTCTGGCTTCCAAGGACTTCTATCACCTTTGACCTCCACCACCAGTGTCAGGCCCATACCCCTCATCTCAAGCAGCTCATCAGAGCTTACATCAGCTCACAGCGCTCGCATCCTCAGCCGGGGTCTGAGCGCCAAACTCTGTCATTCATGTCAATAAACTTCCTAATTTCAGTCTCTTTGTGTGAGTCTCTCCAGGTTGAAATGTACACTCACCGGCCACTTTATTAGGTACACCTGTCCAACTGCTCGTTAACACTTAATTTCTAATCAGCCAATCACATGGTGGCAACTCAGTGCGTTTAGGCATGTAGACATGGTCAAGACAATCTCCTGCAGTTCAAACCGAGCATCAG